GGAGGAGGAGGAGGAGAGAGGGACGTTAGGAGAGGCACAACGGGAGAGAATATCTTTCAGAAGGTTTAATGCCCACAGCCTGTTTGGTTGTTAATCAAAGTGCAGACCACAAAACCAGAGAGCGGCTGGAAGGAGGAGCCCGGCTCCTGATGTGGTTCGTTTGTGGTGTGAATGTAAACCAGACTGACCGCAGGATCGGGTTTAAGTGCATATGGGATTTGGTTAAACAAAAAGGTTGATAACATGTGGTCGTATTCATGACAACACTATCTGCTGATGAAGACCATGACATGTGGTTGAAAGGTCAGGGAAAAGGCAGTTAAGTACACCTCGAGTGATTTCCTTTCTGTCTACCTACAATGTAGAGTCCACTGAACCGTTGCTGAGTCTCAGTCGGACGGGGGGAGAGACTGTTACACTGTGTTGAAGTAATTCAGGATTGTTCAAATATATATATTTAAATAATTTAATTAATATCATAAACATGTGACGACTATTCGAGTAAGGAAATCTTTAGTGGGCGGGGCCCAGACTATAATATTTAATGTTCGATCCAACTTGGTAACCACGGTAACACATGAACAGAGTAAAAAATGAAGTCCTTAAATCTACATTTCCATCATCAGATCCTTCCACCCGTGATACAGGTGCAGTGAAGTGCTTCATGACTCGTTGTTGTTGTTGTTTGGGTTTTGATGCTGATGATGCAGGATGAGTCATCACTAAAGCTGTCCAATGAACCTGTCAGTCCATAGGACGCGATGTTTACACAGCCGTGGTTAATTTGTCACAGAGAGCAGCATGAAATGGACTGGAGCTCAAAGACATCAGAGTCTATTTGGTGGTTTTAAAGTTTTCAAAGGGAGGCCAGAGAGCCGACGGGGGGGACGCGGGGTAAAGATACTGCCTGAGGTGAATATAATTTAATTTCTGCGACTTCAGGGTTCCCACTCTTTTAAAAAACTTAGTTTCCAAAACTAAAACTTTATCAACTTGCAAATAGCTTTTATTTGTATTGTTCTTATTTGATTTCATTTCACTTAAATTATGCATCAAAATGTGGATTTTTAAAAAATGTTTTAATTGATTTGAGCTTCACTCCCTAATCTTTTTCTTTTTACCTTGTTGCACTTTTATCACCCTGTACAACCACAATGAAAGGTTGGGTACCAGTGCACTAGCTATAAACAGGATAAGAGCGGGGTGAAGACCTGAACAGATGAACAGATACATTGAGAAAACCTTCACCCTCTGATAAACTGATCAAAGAGCTGATAAAACAATGAGAACAAAACACTGAATGTATTAAAAAAAAGCCTATTAAGTCTGTATGATAGTTGAAAAAGAGACAGAATTGTATAAAAAGTTCTTAAACAAAAAAGATATCAGCAAACCTCATCTTTTATTAATAATCACAGGAAATAATCTGCTCAAAATGTATCCAAATCTCTCACACACTTCACAAACTTCCTGCAGTTGTTGTGTTCACTGTTTGGGTTCATTGTACATTTCATCATCTGTTCTCTCCTGTTATTGATATTATTGAATATAATATAGAATATGCATAAAATATAGTGATAGAAAAGAGGTGTCTTAAGGAAAAAGGTCGGGAACCAGTGCAGCTGACTGATGGTGTAACATTTGTGAAGTCTCATATTCAAAATAAAGCTTGTACTCACGTGGATGTTGAGCTCCACATTCTTCCACTGGCAAAAACGAGTAAATTTGTCACTGAGGGGAAAAACAAAAAAACAAGAGTTTAAAACATGAATTCACTGTACGTTGGTGCATGTCTTCCACCCTCCATCTCCCCTGTCTCACCTCTCAATGAACTTCTGGAAGATCTTCCCTCTCAAGCTGTCACAGATCTCCACTATGTATGGCTGCAGGAGGGGGGGGGCAGACACATAAACAGCAGTTCAGGCCAGGTTTCTCTCAGTAACTATGTGATAAAAATTCTTTGCGAATGTATGTGAATATACGCTGTGTGCATCGTTCTGATCGCTCAGCTGGACTCCTGCGTCTGCCGCCTTCCTTCTGTCTGCTGTTAATTTGCTCAGCGTTCGTGTCTGTGCGTTTTGACGGGTGAGCTCCAGCTGAATGTAACGTCTGAGCAACACGGAGACTCTCAGAATATACAGGAAATACTGACAGGTTGATGTAATATCTTCTAGGGAAAATTAAGTCACCGGGGATAATTTTATATCCAGAATAAGAGGCCATGTTGTAGTCTAAAAAAGGAAATTGTTGATTAGATTTACTGAGCTGGAAAGAAAACAACTGTTGTCCCTCTTTTTCTCTGGACTTCATTTTCCTGGGGGGCCTTTTGGCAATCGATGCTCCACGCTGAATGTATAATTATCAACAGTATGAATGTGCAGTTTAAAAATAATGTTGATGCAGTTGGAAGTCATGAATAGATACTACGAATTAGGGCCGGGGAGGAAATCGTATAAACACTTTTAGAAACGTTTCCTTGATAAGGAAATGTAAAAAGTTTCATAAACTGTTGACGTACAAACAGCCAATAGAAACAAAAGCTATTTTTAACCAATCATGTGACAGTCTTTAAGGAAGGGATAGCTGATTTCCCAAAATAGGCACAGCAGGGTCGGTTGAGTCGGCTCCTCGCGCCGCACTGTTGTTGTTTTGGTATCAAAAGACAAAGTTCAGACGGGAGGAGGAGGAGGAGGCTCAACAGTCACCACAACCTCAAAAGTGGGCCAAGAGAAGTCTAATACCGAGATATAGAGCAAACAGTGACACAGCAAATAGAGTAAGTAATGTTAGCTACGTCTGTCTGCTGCTGTAGCTAATGTCGATAACTAAAGTGGGAAGTTTGGCTGCACGATGAATCGAACCTTAAATGAACGTGATCGTCTATAATATCGGCCTTTAAACTGTGCGCTCGGCTCATAGAAAACTCTGCGTATCTAATCGAGCGCTTCCTGAAGAGCCAGCCACCAGAGGTGATCCAGATGTTTCGGGAAGCTGTCCTCAGTCTGAAATATGTCGGAGTGATGGGACAGGAAGAGCTGCTCACCTCCGCCCCCCACTGCCGCTGCTCACAGAATCAAATCGGACCACGGTTGTTCACAGAGAGAAGGAAGAAGGCCGATTATTGCCTGAATACTCGATCAAAACGACAAAATGATCCTGGGACCTGTGGTATTAACCAGGTGAACTGCAGGATGCTTTTGATCAGAATAATCTGGATTATCCTTTCGGCCGTAATCGTGCCGCCCTACTACAAAGTGAGCT